CTGCCTCAAGTGAGAAAAGCTTGCCAGGCAGATGGGCAAGAATAAGCAAATATGGTGGTGGAAACTGTGTTTGGTAGTCTGCTGTGGCTAGAATGGCAGACCTTTACAGCAAGGGCCGGAGTTGAGGCTGCGCCAGGTTGGCAAGGACACTGACTCCCCTACTGAAGAGATGGTGACATCTGAGAGGAGGGGGACAGGCACCGAGGAGGGATTGTGGCAGTGGCAGCATGGAGAAGTTGGTGAGAGATCTTAGGGGCAGCAGATCTGGCCAGACAACACGGAGCGATGGAGGGGGTAGGGTGGCTGCCCGTAAATACAGCATGCACCGCAGTGGGGCTTGGTGACCAGTTGGCTGAGGCTGGAGGAGGAGAAAGGAAAATGAAGACTAACTGAGGTGTAAGGCTTGCCAGCTGGGTGAGGATGCTGTTTTTGATCGAGAGGGAAAGTGGGTGGGGGGAGCAGGGAGCCTTGTGTAATGGCTTTTGGTTCGCCTCAGCCACTTAGGTTGACTGGCAGACCGGCCTTCAGCGGTGGGGGCCCAAGGGAGGGCTGATGCCCATGGGAGCCTGCCTGCACAGGGAAGGGTAGTGGATCTAGAAGGGCACTAGTGAGTTACTGAGTCTTTGCGTTCTTAATCTAGTTTGACTGTGAATTGGGTTATAAAGCGCCATCACCATCTCCTCAAAAAACCAAAAATAACCCCATAGGGTTAATAGCTCATTTGTGCAATGAACATGTACTAAGTGTCAAACACTGCTGGCCCTGGGGACATGGCAGTGAGTGTGCCGGAATGCCTCCAAGAAGTGTATGGTCTCCTGGTTAATAGAGAGGAGATGTGAGCAGGTGGGGTTGCAAGCCAATTGGGACTCCTTAAACTACTTCTCCCCAGCAGCAGGAGCTCCAGGTTCCAGTCTTGGAGCTTACTGACCCCATAACCTTGGGCCATTACTTCCCCTCTGCCTCCGTTTCATCATCTGTAAGTTGGAGAGAACACTACAACTGATCTCGTGGTGGTGGTGGTGGTGGTGTGAGGAGATGTGTCAGATGCCCAGCATGTGGTACACACTCGGTGCACGTTTGCTGGCCTCACATGTACTCAAGCCAGACAAGTTTAAGTCCTAGGACTTTCTCAAGTAAAATAACTTGGAATTTTCATAGTTCTGTGCTGTCATCCTGGGAAGCTATTGGACCACCATGACTCATCATCCCTACTACATCAGGGTAATGAGTATTTCTATTCCCATTTTTGTATCTGGGTAGACAGGTTAAAAATTTGCCTAAAAAGTTGGTGGTGCTGAGACTCTCCATCCCCAGCCCTGCCTGCCATGTTGGTGTTCCTTCTCCTTCTCCTCCTACTTTGTCATCTTTTTTAAAAAATATTTTAACCGGGGCGCCTGGGTGGCTCAGTCGTTAAGCGTCTGCCTTCGGCTCAGGTCATGATCACAGGGTCCTGGGTTCGAGCCCCACATCGGGCTCCCTACTCCACGGGAAGCCTCAGAGGGGCTTCCCGCGGAGCAGGGAGGGGAAGCCTGCTTCTCCCTCTCCCACTCCCCCTGCTTGTGTTCCCTCTCTCGCTGTGTCTCTCTCTGTCAAATAAATAAATAGATATTAAAAAAAAAAAATTTTTTTAACCATTTTTTAGTGTGCAGTTCAGTAGGGTTAGGACTGTTCATATTGTTGTGTCACAGAGCTCCAGAACTCTTTCATCTTGCAAGACTGAAACTCTGTACCCATTAAACAACAGTGCTTCTCCTTGCTTGCACTGAGGAGCCAGGCTCCCCCTCCTTGCAGGGTGGATTTCTGTCTCCTAATAGGCAAGCTAGTGCAGCAGAACCTGAGTGGACAATGTGCAGTGGTTAAGCAGTTTCAACTGGAACAAATTAGTTTTAGAACAAGAACTTTTAGGGGCACCTGGGTGGCTCAGTCGGTTAAGCATCTGCCTTGGGCTCAGGTCAAGATCCCAGGGTCCTGGAATCGAGTTCTGCATCAGGCTCCTTGCTCAGTGGGGAGCCTGCTTCTCCCTCTCCTTGCCACTCCCCCTGCTTGTGCTCTCACTCTCTCTCTGACAAATAAGTAAAGTCTTAAAAAAAAAAAAAGAACAAGAACTTTTATCTCCTTGTTGAAGCTCGTGGAAGGACTCTCCTCTCCCAGGTCACCAAGTCTTGACATCATCTGGTCCTTGGATGGGGGAGCACATTGCTCTAGAGGAGGAAAGGCCTTCTCTCAAGCCTACCCAACTTAATCGTTTTGGTCTCAAGCCAGAATAGCATCAATGTGCGTTTTAGAGGTCATTCTTAACTCCATCTCAGAAGGAAAAATGTAACTCAGGATAGTCTGGATTGCTGACTGCCTTCTGGAAGTTGACCTTTTGTTCTATTGATGGAAATCATAAAAGACTTAATGATAGCCAGTATTCGTGGAGTACTTTTACAGTTTATAAGGTGTTCACATATAGTATTTTTGTAGATGTTCTTTCCTCGCTACAACCTTATGATTCAGGCCATGCAGGCATAATTATCCCCTTTTCATAGCTGAGAGGTGAAGTAACTTGTGGATGTCACCCAGCTAATAAGTCAGGGCTCAAAGACAAATACTCATCCTCAGGATTTCCGGCTCAAAAACTCAGGCTCTTTTCTATTATGCCACGTCACTGCCTTGTTCTTACCAGTCATCACATGGGCCCAGGGAGGCTTCTTCTGGTTTTTGCTTGGGGGGAGGATATCTCCTGGTCCTGCTGCATCACATGCAGGAAGTGCCTGTATCCAGGGGTTCTCTTATATCAGTAAAGGTTCTTTGGTTGTTTTTAAAAAATAAAACAGTGGTCATTGTTAGGTGTGGGGAGCTGTGTAAAGTTCTCCTTTGTCCTGATTGGATTACTCTGCCTTGGCTGAGTTTGATCTTTCTCTGTGGCCACTGGAGGGAGGGGAGTAGCGTTCTCACCTGACCTCCTCACCTGTAACATAGTTGAACTCTTCTCCCTGGCCTTGCTTGCTCTTTGCATATTATGAAGTGGGAACTTATTTCAGTTGGCCAAGTAGTCTCCCATTATGTCCCTAAACCTAAAGCTTCTGCTGACTATAAGAGCCACCAAGGTTGTGAACTCTAGTTAGGGATAAATATTTTTGGACTCGACAGTGAGTCTTCCTTAATAACTCAATTGTTGGAATAAATAGAGTCAGAAATCTCTTTCTTTCTTGGGGAGGGGAAGGATAGAGGCAAGGGGATGTGAAGCCAGCAATATCCAGTTGCAGTGGTATTAGAAAGGAGGTTACTGGGGCGCCTGGGTGGCTCAGTCGTTAAGCGTCTGCCTTCGGCTCAGGTCATGGTCCCAGGGTCCTGGGATCGAGCCCCGCATCGGGCTCCCCGCTCAGCGGGAAGCCTGCCTCTCCCTCCTCCACTCTCCCTGCCTGTGCTCCTTTCTCAATGTGTCTCTCTCTGTCAAATAAATAAATAAAATCTTTAAAAAAAAAAAAAAAAAAGAAAGGAGGTTACTTACACTGGAAAATGCACCCAGGAATCCTGTCTCTCCTCCCATTCTGGGTGTGTTGGGACCCTGGCTGGCATACAGCTGGTTTTCCCTGTGTAACTCCTGGTGAACTGGACACGGGAGGCAGGGGAGAGTAGCAGTGGTGGGAGCAGTACTCAGATCTGAACCACTTTGCCATCCTTTATCTCTGTGGGGCCCAGGGTTCTAACATGCTGGGAATTGGGCTTATTTGGGGAACTTCAGTCGGGATGACTCCATTGTTGTTGGGGAGTAATGTGCACTCCCCTTGCTTGAGCGCTGGACGAGAGGCCAGCCTCTTTGGTATGGAGCCCATGAACTCCCTTTTAGGTGACCACATTTTTAGTTCATTTTCCAAGTGCATTTGGGCAGATGGAGTTTTTTTGTTTTTTCCCCCCGGTTAAGAGCCAAGATTACAGTGTCCTTGGCATTTATTCTCTGTTACGGGGCCAGCCTCACCTGAGCTTCTTGTAGCCCCCCTGAACACTTTCCCCAAGAAGCAAAGCATCTGTCAAGTGGGAGTGTCCACAGAGAGTTATTTTTCCCTTCGGACCTTTCTCATGTGTGGACCTGAGGTTATGTCTCCGTGTGCAGTGGTCTGGTCTGTGTTATCTTGTGGGGGTTGTTTTGTTTTGTCTTGTTTTTTGCAGAAAGTAGAATAGGAAAGTTTGCTGTGGGTAATTGTAATAAACATGATGTGGTAGGAAAAGCATCATACTGGGAGCTGGGAGTCCTGAGTTCTGGAGATGGCTCTGCCATTCGTTGTCGCTGGGACCTCTGGCAAGGGAGGGAGTCACCTCCCTATGTGTGAAGCGACAGCACAGGACTGGATGAGCATCTTCTATCCTAATCTAGTAGATGAGACCTTCTCAAATCTCACCTTATAGGAAGTAGTAGCCAAAGGATCAAAACACGATCTACAGGGCGCCTGGGTGGCTCAGTTGGTTAAGCGACTGCCTTCGGCTCAGGTCATGATCCTGGAGTCCCGGGATCGAGTCCCACATCGGGCTCCCTGCTCCGGCGGGGAGTCTGCTTCTCCCTCTGACCCTCCTCCCTCTCATGTTCTCTGTCTCTCATTCTCTCTGTCTCAAATAAATAAAATCTTAAAAAAAAAAAAAAACAACCACGATCTACATTATACTGACGGGGAGGGAGAGGGTTGAATTGCATGGGCGGGTACTTCACACTAATATAAGAAAGGATTGACAGTGAGCTGAGGCTTTCTAGTTCTATAATCTCAGTAGATTGGTGGAGAGGTTTTTTTCACAATTAGCGTGAGCCACTCTTCCCCCTCGCATGCAGATACGCCACGGAGCCTGGTGTCTCTGTCCTGACCCGAGAGCCTGCAGTGCTAGAGGCAGGAGGATTTGGGTCTCTGGCATTCACAGAACACCCTGTGCTTGCTGGGGGCTGGCCTCGCAGGGGAGAGGTGGGGGATGGCTCTCGAAGTCCCAGGTGGTGATGGCCGTGTTGTGCCTTTGTCCTCAGGTGAACGATGGCAGGCTCTGGTGAGCGCAAGGGCAAGAAGGATGACAATGGCATCGGCACGGCCATTGATTTTGTGCTCTCCAACGCCCGGCTGGTGCTGGGGGTGGGCGGGGCGGCCGTGCTGGGCATTGCCACACTGGCGGTTAAGCGGGTAAGTGCATGCGGCCGGGGCGGGGGCCGGGACAGGGCTGGGAGGGGGGCTGAGGCTGCCCCTGCACAGTGCAGCTGACCTGGAACGGGACTCTGATACTGATGGGCTGCTCGTCTGGCATTTTAAGATGAGCCTTGAGGAGAATTCACTAAGTCCACTTCTGGGACTCTGCCCTAAAGAAATCGTTGGAGATACAGATAGATTGCAAATAACCAAAACATCCTTACTTAATTACCTTATTTAAAATAGCAACACTCCACCACATATACACTTCCTACTTCCGTTTCCTACTGTATTTATCTTAACATTTATCTCTGTCTGCATACTTCACATTTGACTTGTTAATTATGTATTACCTGTATCCCTCTCCTGGCCTGGAAACTCCGTGAGGGCAGGGTTGGGTCTCTTTGGTGTCCTGCTTTATTCTGTGCGCCTAGAACGATGGCTGGCACACAGTATCCACTCAGTGTCTGTGAAGTAAGTGAATCCGTGTTTAACGTTATGGTACATTCGTAAGGTGCAGTGTTGTATAGTCAGAAAAGGTGCTGTAATGTTGAACACTGGTTCATTTTTAGTCGCATGGGGAAATGATAAAAGTGATCAGTGAAAAAATCCAGTTCCAAAAGTATATATAGAGTCAGATCCTAATTATATAAAATATATTTCCAGAAAGAACTAGACCAGTATATTAAGTGGTCTCTGTGTTGTGACATTATGGTAGATTGGTTTCTTATTTGTATCATTCAGTATTTCCTAAGATTTTCCGCGTGAAGCAAAGTATTCCATAACCTAGAATAAAACGAAGTTACTGAAAAATAGTAGTTGAACTCCTGAGGGCAGAGCTGCTGGGAAGAAGGGCAACGGGCAGGAAGCTACCTATGCCGGTCCTCTGCTGTTTCAGATGTACGATCGGGCCATCAGTGCCCCTACCAGCCCCACCCGCCTGAGCCATTCAGGGAAAAGGAGCTGGGAAGAACCGAACTGGATGGGCTCCCCCCGGTTACTGAATAAGGACATGAAGACAGGCCTGAGCCGGTCCCTGCAGACCCTTCCCACAGACTCCTCAGCCTTTGACACGGGTGAGGAAAAGGCTGTCACCCCTCTGGGACTCCTTTCTGGGCTCTCAGTACTACATCTGCCTTCAGCAAATGTTTCTTGAGCACGTGTATGCCAGGCACTGTGCAAGCACTTGTCTTGTGTGCCAGGCCCTTCTTTCTGGGGCCGAGGCAGCTATGGACTAAGCAAGCATGGGAAGAGCTCACGTGCCTCTCTCTCTTGCCTTGGCAGATACATTCTGCCCGCCCCGGCCCAAGCCATTGGCCAGGAAGGGCCAGGTAGACTTGAAGAAGTCACGACTCCGCATGTCCCTGCAGGAGAAACTTCTCACTTACTACTGGAACCGGGCAGCCATCCCTGCTGGCGAGCAGGCTCGGGCCAAGCAAGCTGCTGTGGACATATGTGCCGAGCTTCGGAGCTTTCTGCGGGCCAAGTTGCCTGACATGCCACTTCGGGACATGTACCTGAGTGGCAGCCTCTATGATGACCTGCAGGTAACAAGGCGGTTCCCACGAAGGGCAGGTTTGGGTGCTGACTGGGATGCTTCTCAAGAGTGTTGTTGGTACCAAAGATCAGCGTCCCAGGCTTGCCAGAAAGACCAAGGGCTTCCTGCTTCTGGATTCTGCCCACTGGGGTAGCACTTGTTGGGTCTTCTTAACCCTTTCTTGTTCTGACAGACAGGTTTTTTTTTTTTTTTTAAGATAATTTATTCTTTTTTTTTTTTTTTAAGATTTTATTTATTTATTTGAGAGAGAGAGAATGAGAAAGAGCACATGAGAGGGGGGAGGGTCAGAGGGAGAGGCAGACTCCCTGCTGAGCAGGGAGCCCGATGCGGGACTCGATCCAGGGACTCCAGGATCATGACCTGAGCCGAAGGCAGTCGCTTAACCAACTGAGCCACCCAGGCGCCTGATAATTTATTCATTTAACAGAGAGAGAGATTGAGCACAAGTAAGCAGAGCACAGGCAGAGGGAGAGGGAGAAGCAGGCTCCCCACTGAGCAGAGAGCCCTATGCGGGGCTCAATCTCAGGACCCTGGGATCATGACCTGAGCCGAAGGCAGACGCTTAACCGACTGAGCCACTCAGGTGCCCCTGACAGACGTGGGTTTAAATTGTCACTCTATTTGAATTGGTAATGGTGACATGAATTCCTTTATTGTTGGGGGGAAAATGAGATGGTGGGACCTGTGTTTGGGAATGCTTGTCTCTTGGGCAGATTAAGTCCCTCAAAAGCTTTTTAATTCTGCCCCAACAGGTGGTGACAGCAGACCACATCCAACTCATCGTGCCCCTCGTGCTGGAGCAGAACCTGTGGTCGTGTATCCCTGGTGAGGACACCATCATGAACATCCCTGGCTTCTACCTGGTTCGTCGTGAGAATCCAGAGTATTTTCCTCGGGGTAGCAGTTACTGGGACCGCTGTGTAGTAGGGGGCTACCTCTCCCCAAAGACAGTGGCAGACACATTTGAGAAGGTGGTGGCTGGCTCCATCAATTGGCCAGCCATAGGGTCCCTCTTGGACTATGTGATCCGACCAGCACCACCCCCAGAAGCCCTGACTTTGGAAGTGCAGTATGAGTGTGACAAGCATCTTGTCATTGACTTCCTGCCATCAGTGACCCTTGGCGACACCGTCTTGGTAGCCAGACCACACCGGCTGGCACAGTATGACAACCTATGGCGGCTGAGCCTGCGTCCCGCAGAGACGGCCCGCCTGCGGGCTTTGGACCAGGCCGACTCGGGCTGCCGATCTCTGTGCCTCAAGATCCTCAAGGCCGTATGCAAGTCCACTCCGGCTCTGGGCCACCTCACTGCCAGCCAGCTCACTAACGTCATCCTCCACTTGGCCCAGGAGGAGGCTGACTGGTCTCCAGATATGCTGGCCGACCGATTCCTACAGGCCCTGAGGGGACTCATCAGCTACTTGGAGGCCGGAGTCCTGCCCAGTGCCCTAAACCCCAAGGTGAACTTATTTGCAGAGCTCACTCCTGAAGAAATAGATGAGCTGGGATATACTCTCTATTGCTCGCTGTCTGAGCCGGAGGTGCTGCTGCACACGTAGGGCGGGTGAAGGCGGTCACGCCCTGGCTGCCCCGTTGGCAACACGGGGCTGCGTAGTTGGTGCCTCACGGGGTTCCTAGGTGCCTCCTCTCTTGCTGGTCATCGCCCCGATCACTTCATGCTCATCAGAATGCCATCTCCTTGTCTCCTATTTTCTCACCCAGCCCTTTCTGTTTCTGTTACCAAACACTGTGCTCCTACTCCTCCCCTCCCCCTTGCTCCAGGCTCATTTTTCTGGAATGAATTGAGAAGGTGGAGCGCTGGCCTGAGCTGGTGTTTTGCACTGTGGCCCAGGTTTTCTGTCCCTGTCTGTCCTGCCCTTTTGCCTGTTTCTTTCCAGTGTCTTCTCTGTCTGTTCCTCTTGTTCACACCTTCTGTTTTGCTCTTTACCCTGGAGCGTATCTGCCTAGTCAAGATGTTGCCTTTTCCTTGAATGTCACTGGAGAGTTATGTTTGCACGTTTCCAAGCTGAGCTCTGCAGAGAGTGCTCAGACAGTATTTAGAGTTTCTGGGAGTAAAGCTGGTGGAAGAGCTGGCCTTTGACCCAGGTTCCTGGAGAAGAAGCCCATTTCCCCCGCCTCCTGACCTCCAATTCCTAAGTGCTGAGAAGGTCTCATGGGAACACTGTTATTGACCCACACAGGAGGGAGGCTCAATATAAACTGGATGAGATTGCTTGGAGATTGTGTTCTTTGGTGGCCACCAGAGACACTGCAGTGGGGGAGCCGGCAGTGGTGAAGAGGGCCTAGGGAAGGGTGTGTGTGCCCAATGGCTGAGCCTCAGCCTTGGCTGGTCCAGATCAGCGCTGCTGTGTGAGCAGCTGGGGGAAGACGGGGAGGGAGGGGGCTGTTGTTCAGCCCCTTCCTTGCCTTATTGCCAATTAGGACGAAGCCTTCAAGGACACAGTGTTTGTGGTAGAGGTTGAAGGGAGGTTGACAGGCAGCAAACACCAGCTGAAAAATCCAGTCACCGGTTGAGGCTTGGCGACCGTGTTTCTTCCCCATGAAGCCCTGCCTTTCCAGGACGTTGCCTGAGCGCGGGAACAGGCCCACAGCCAGCCTTTCATTCCCCAGCGTCTGCCATAGGAACATGAGGGGGTGTTTGCTGAACTCTCCAGGCCCTGCCAGAGGCCAGAGGGCAAGCAGACCTGCACTGACCTCTTTCCCGTCCTGTCTCACCCCGCACCTGGGGAGACTGGTGCTACCCAGGAAAAGCGCGCATGGATAGGAGAGGGATGCGGGTCTTCCTGTGCTCCCTCTGGTTTCCTGCTGCTAAAACTGCACTGCGTGTTGCAACGACAAAGGTATCCTGGCGGCGGGGAGGAGGGTCTCACACACGTCGTCAGTGCAGCTGCTTGTTTTGTGCTTTCTTCCTGTTCGTGGCAAGAAGCCAATAATAATTCTGTTTCTGATCTGCCAGTATTTTTTTCTCCCATCAAGTTTTATTTTTTCTCTTCTTACTACCTCTCCATCAGTGAGATTCTGGTGAAGCTCCCGCAGCTGTCTCATTCCTTCCCAATGACAGCAGCATGAAATGACTCTTTAAATAGCATTGAAACCTCAGCTGTGCTTTGAATTTAGGGTAGAGATTCCTGTACCCTTTTTGTCATGGATTAGGAGGTTGTGAACTAGGGTTAACCTTGGCTATATTTGGAAAATTTTCCTGCTTCTCTCATAGATCTGCAAAGGTTCCTTAAAGTGGTTCAGTTGCCATATGTATGAAGCCACTGAGAGAATGAAAAATATAAAGCCCAGAACCCCGAGAGAGATCCTCCATCCTGGCTGTTCATCAGAATCAGATTAGAGTTTAAAGAAATGCTCTGTGCCTGAGTGCTACCCTAGGTGACTGGCAGAGAGGGTACGGGGCAGGACCTGGCATCGAACGTTCCTGTGCACCTGTCTGGTATCCATTAGAGGGAAGGAAGAGGGGAGGTTGCAAAAGCATGGGTTAGGCTTCGTTGAGATAAAGGATTTGGTTTTCCTAATGTATTAGAGGACCTAGTTTTCCCAAGCTGGCATCTCTGACCAAATTCCATATTAAAACATTGGAAGGAGAGCTGGAAAAAACAAGCGGTTTTAAAGACGAAGTCCCCAATTATCAAAGCCAGGTGTAATTGTGATTTGATTTTATGTCCTTTCTTAAAAGAGCATCTTTCTAAGGGCATCTCTGTCTCTTAACTATGTTTTTCACAAAACCAAAAACCGTAACTTTCCCATTTCACAAGCAAGAACCACCCGGAAGTCCTCAGAACTAGAAGCAGTGGGAGTTCTTGGCCCTCGTCCTGGTGGGTTTGCTGACTGAGGCTGGGCCAGCCTTGTAAAACATGGAAGATAGTCTAGTGCTTGGAGGTTCTTGGATGGAAGAGGACAACGCTCTGCCCCAACCCCCACCCCCCACTCCGCCCCCCCCTCCGTCCAATTTTTTTAATCTTTGGGGAAGGATGTTTTGCCTCTCCCTGCCATTCTGCCTTTCTACTCAGTAACTCCCACCTTTGCCTGAAGTTTTTCGCACCGTCTAGGTTAGCAAACCATGAGTTAGCCTAATGCTTAAAAAATATACTCTTTACCTTGAAAGCCTAATCAATTCCAAAGCGTATTTGGGTTTTTTCCCTGTTGGCCCGTCCTAAAAAATGAGTTCAGGATAACAGTATTTTATATGCTTGGTTGTGACTTTTTTTTTTCCTCAAATAAATAATCAAAAACTAATGTCTGGAAGAACTGTTGAGGCCTACAGTCTTTCCTCCTTGGTCTCAGCCCCTGGTGGTCACCCTGTTCACACTCCAGATTAGCTGGTTTTGCTCCCTTGTACTCCGCTCCAGTTGAGAACTCTCATTTTTTTTTTTTTTTGAAGATTTTATTTATTTGAAAGAGAGCACAAGCAAGGGGAAGAGCAGAAGCAGAGGGAGGGGGACAAGGAGATTCCCTGCTGAGCGGGGAGCCAGATGAGGGGCTCAATCCCAGGACCCTGAGATCATGACCAAAAGCTTTTTTTTTAAGTAGGCTCCATGCCCAGCATGGAGCTCAATGCAGGGCTTGAACTCAGGACCCTGAGATCAAGACCCAGACATTTAACCAACTGAGCCACCCAGGCACCCCCTGAGAACTCACATGTTTTGACAAGGAATCAGCTTCAGGATCACAAGGTCCTGGAGAGGCCCCAGGAGGAGTTCTGCAAGTAGGGAACCCCGCATGTGTCTTAGTCCTCTGCCATGGTACATCTTCCTTGATACTGTGACCCTGGCTGAAAACTGCTCACAGGGTTGGTTATCACTCTGCCCGTCCTGTTAAAGCTCAAGGCCAAAGAGAATGGTAAAGACACCTGGGACTAGAGCTGTCAGGCTGTGTCCCTCTTACACACTGCTGATTCTAAGTGGCCAAAACACCAGATGTGGGTTTTGAGGCTGTGTCCAGCGTGTTTACCTTTTCATTCGGATCACCTTGTAGTCTTTAAATTCTTGCTCCCTGAGGCCAAGGACACAACTTGCCTTCTAGTCACTTGCCTGCCCTTCAGTAGCAGTGGATGCATTCAGCTGGTAGATCTGGAATCCGTCACTGGTCTCTCTGTCCCACCTTGGCTAGGTCCACATAGAAGCAGCTTAGCCCTGAGACCCAGAGAACTCTTTTTTCTCCTTGAGGGAGGAAATAAAGCTGGGGAACATGAGGACCTTCCACAGCATGGAAAGAAAAAAATAAAAGTCTCCTTTCCAATAGCTTTGACTTCTGTGTGTGGTATGAAACATTTTCCTACAGGAGTGATCCTCCTCCATTTTCAGCCAGAAGAACCTTTTAAGTGCTTGATCTGGGTCTTCATGATAGAATGGATGGGACAAGCTGCCACTGGAGTCATTCATCTGTGACCTCCTGCAGTGTCAAAACTGGGGCAATATTACTTTAATTCTCAACCTTCTGCATGGTTGTCCGTAAGGAGGCACTGGCAGGTCTCCTGATACAGCAAAAGGAGGACGTGCCCCATGGGTCCTTAGTTACACCTTGGAAGACTTGTGTAATGGCTCAGAGATACTTACTGCCTTTGTACTGAAAGACCAGACAACTTCGTTATATCTTGACATTTGTGATTCTCCAAGGCAGTAGAAAAACCATTCTTGTCCCAGTATGCAGTGTACTTTGCATGTACCAGTTGTTGTGGTTTCATTTCAGTCAAGAAGAGGAGGCCTCTGAGGAAGCAGGATGTAAGGAAGATGTGGAGTGGGGAGTTCAGGATCAGAAGACCCTGAGTTCTAATAATGGTAATAATAGGCAACCGTTTATTGAGCACTTACCAGCACTTTGCTCAGTGCTTTCCAAATATGATCATTCTAAGGAGGAGGATACTCATCATTAGCCTCATTTTACAGATGAGGAAACTGGCTTAGCAAGGATAAACTGCTTAACCAAAACGTCTCAGCTACTAAATAGAAGAGCCAGGATTCTTGGGTTTGCCTCAAAAATTTGTCTTCCAAGGCCTGCCCCATACCGCCTCCACTGGCAACTATGTGACTTTGGGCCACACACCCCGCCCCATTAGTTGTTTGGCCTAAAGAAATGGTTGGGCTAGCTAGACTGAATCAAAGCAATGAATGGTTTGTAGTTATCAAAGACAGTGTTTCCCCAATTTTCTGACCTCACCGCCCTCCTACAGATACTTGAATGGCCCACTGAAATGGGAGGCAGAAACAAGGTTTCTGCCCCTACAGGCCCCGACTGTGAAGGACACGGGAGGATGATGGAGACCTTTCTTGGCACTCTTCACAGCTCCCCAGCAGAGAGCAAGTTGCAGGCCTTGAGCTGGACTGCTGCTTCCAAACCGATGCTCCGCGAGAAGCCTCAAGCTTCTCCCGCCACATCAGCGCCATTAGGCGGACGTGCTGGGAAGTGGTTAGGATGGACACACCGGGCAGTTGCAGACTTGGGAGAGCGGCAGATACCAGTTTAACAAAATCTCGTCGGGGAACTGCATCTGCATAAACCAAAAGAAGTTGCCCTGTGATAGACTGAATACTCTTAATAAAACAGCAAACATTTTAGCAGGCTGCGTATGCAAAAATACCCTAAGTTGGGCTAGAGATTATGTATCTTCCCGACTGGCCTTGAGAGTTCACGGTAAGGATGCAGAGTTGGCCCTTGATCGTAGGTGCGCGCGGAGCGTTTGAGATCCCGACTGAGATCCTCAGTCCCCCCTTTCAGCCATTTAAGGGCTTGCGTGACACGAAATGCCACTTCCTTTTGCCTAGTTTCGGCCTGAACTTGGTCGCTAATTCGGAGCTTGACGCAGGGCGACAGGAAGGGACCACAAGGGCCGGGGCCTGACGCGACCGTTTGGGACTACCCAGGTTAAAGCAGCCCGGAGGAGCCAGGACAGTCACGGACGGCTACGGGCGTGCCGAGCTGAGGAGGCCAGTGCAGACATTATTCACCGACACGAGGCAGTACAGGACAGGGAACCGCACTGGCCGCTCCCCTCCTTCCCGCTCTGACCGGGCGTCCCTCACCGAACAGCCCGCCCATGTCGGGGTCTGAGCCAATAGAAAATCGAGATATATATGACTCACCATGACTAGCCAATCAGCTCGACGCTCGCTCTCCGCCAGCATCTCGCGCGATAACCAGGTGGCCTCGGACTTCACAATAAAAACCTTCCTTGGGCTGAAAGACTTCTCTCCCCGCCCACCAAGCTAACACCGGAAACGAGGTATGTCTGAAGAATCCCTCCGCGCCATCCGGCGGCGGAGGGAAGAGTGACACTTTGATCTTAGTAGCCTTGCAAAGTAGTGCGCCTTTTTCCTTTCTTGAGGCCTTGAAAATAACTCCTATTCTCTTCACAGCTACGCCCTGGGCATGAAGGTCGTGGGTTGGACACGGTGGGGCATCGGATAGGAGAAAACCAGTGGGTGGGAGGCGCTGGTCACGTGACCGCGGCGGAAGGATGTGCAGTGTGATGCGTCCTCAGAGAGGCAAAGTCTATAAAGGACCCTCGGGCGGCGCTTCGCCGCCATTTCTCTTCCTCCCGCCTATAAATGTAGATCCTTCCCGCAAGTGCGCGCCTTCCCTCCAATCCCCGCAGGGTCCGCGGCCGCCATGGCGTATTAGAGGCAGCAGTGCCTGCGGCAGCATTGGCCTTTGCAGCGGCGGCAGCAGCACCAGGCTCTGCAGCGGCACCCTCCAGCGGCTTAAGCCATGGCGTAAGTACCGGGCCGCCCCGGCCGTGCTCCCCTGAGTCGGCAAGGGCAGTCAGCTCGCTTGGGCGCGGCAGGCCGGGCGGCGTCGCGGAAGGGGAAGCGGCTTTACGAGCGCCCGGGACGCGTGACCCCCGTTTGCGTGTCCTCTAGACGCCGACGCCTCGGGGTCGGGAGGCCGCGGCCCGGCGGGAGTGGGGGTAGAAGCCCTCGGCGGCGGCGGCCCCGGCCCCTGAACCCGGCGGCGTCCCGCCCGGCGCCCCGCGAAACGTGGCAGGGGCCAAGATGGCGGCGGGGCAAGGCGGCAGGAGCGCGGCGTGAGTCCCGGGCGGGCGTGGGCGGGGCCGGGCGGCCCGGGCCGTATTTGGACATGAGCAGGGCGCGCCTTCTGGCGGCGGCGGCGGCGAGGGGAGGAGCGGCCCGGCCCGAGGGCGTCCATCTTGAGCGGGCCGCGGGAAGGTGGACGCCATGGCTCTGGGGCCGCATGTGCCGGATCCTCTGCTCCCGAGTGGGGTTCTAGCTTGGCCATCCTCTCTCCGGGGCGGAGAGACGAACTTCTCGGGTCGGCTCATGTCTGAGGGGACTTGGTCTCTGATTGCTTCTCAGGCTTCTCACGGCATCCAGCAGCAGCGTTGCTGTAACCGACAAAGACACCTTCGAATTAAGCACATTCCTCGATTCCAGTAAAGTACCGCGACATGGCCGAGATGAGTTTCCTGAGCAGCGAGGTGTTGGTGGGGGACTTGATGTCCCCCTTCGACCAGTCGGGTTTGGGGGCTGAGGAAAGCCTGGGTCTCTTAGACGACTACCTGGAGGTGGCCAAGCACTTCAAACCTCATGGGTTCTCCAGCGACAAGGCTAAGGCGGGCTCCTCCGAATGGCTGGCTGTGGATGGGTTGGTCAGTGCCTCAGACAACGGCAAGGGTGAGTGAGCGTCGTTTGCCCCTGGGGTCTGGTCTGGGGCTTCGCTGCGGCAGTGTGCGTCTGACTTCCCTGGTTCTCTCTTGCAGAGGATGCCTTCTCCGGGACAGATTGGATGGTGGAGAAAATGGATCTGAAGGAGTTTGATTTTGATTCTCTGTTCAGTATAGATGACCTGGAAACCATGCCAGATGAGCTTTTGGCCACGTTGGATGACACGTGTGATCTCTTTGACCCCCTAGTCCAGGAGACTAATAAGGAGCCCCCCCGGACTGTGAACCCAATTGGCCATCTTCCAGAAAGTTTACAAAAAACAGACCAGATTGCCCCCTTTACCTTCCTCCAACCACTTCCCCTCTCCCCAGGGGCCCTGTCCTCCACTCCAGATCATTCCTTTAGTTTAGAGCTAGGCAGTGAAGTGGATATTTCTGAAGGAGATAGAAAGTCAGACTCCGCCACTTACAGTAACGTGATCCCTCAGTGCATCAAGGAGGAGGATGCCCCCTCAGATAATGATAGTGGCATCTGTATGAGTCCTGAGTCCTATCTGGGGTCCCCCCAGCATAGCCCCTCTACCTCCAGGGGCTCTCCAAATAGGAGCCTGCTGTCTCCAGGTTCCCTCTCTGGTTCTGCCCGCCCCAAACCCTATGACCCTCCTGGAGAGAAGACAGAAGCGAAAGTAAAGGTGGAGAAACTAGATAAGAAGCTGAAAAAAATGGAGCAGAACAAGACAGCAGCCACTCGGTACCGCCAGAAGAAGAGGGCTGAGCAGGAGGCCCTCACTGGGGAGTGTAAAGAGCTGGAAAAGCAGAATGAGGCTCTGAAAGAGAGGGCAGATTCTTTAGCCAAGGAGATCCAGTATCTGAAAGATTTGATAGAAGAGGTCCGAAAGGCGAGGGAGAAGAAAAGGGTCCCCTAGTCGGGGTAGTCAGGAGTGTGTGTGCTTGTACATAGGCTTGCGCTAAAGCTGTGTGTTGTAATAAATTATTTTGTAGTGAAAGTACTTGAATTGCTGTGTGCCTGCTTTCTGGTCTCAATCCACCTTGGCCTGGCTGTTGAGCAAGGCGAGTGGGGTTGGTTCAGCCCTGTTGGGCCATAGGTCAGGACCACTGTTGATTCTGTTGGACTCCCAGGCTGGAGGGAGTTGGGCTTTGGGGCCCCATAGGTGGCTGGGTGGGGCTGGGGAGCTTTACTCTTGAGGGAGTTGGGTGATCAGGAGCCACATGCCCCACTTGGGCGCTAAGTGATTAAATTCCACTTTTTTTACAGTTCTGTAGAGCGCTTCCCCAGAACACTAGAGAAAAGTAGGTCTTTGGTTTTTGCTGGAATAAACGACGAGTTGGGGGTTCAAGACGTAGCTTGCAGAAATTCCTGGCCAGAGCTGGGCTCAAAGGCTGGCAGATCTGTCCATAGGTGATGTCAGGACAGCACCAGGAAGCCTTGATGTTCATCTGAATGGCAATGCGGACCCCCCAGAGTGTGGCACCAGGCAGTGTTGTAAGCACTCTACTACGTGCATTCTCCCAGTTCCTGTGGTAACCCAGTGGGGCCTTTCCCCTGTGGGAAATAGGTGCAGGAGGAAGCATTGGGCTCTTGACCCATTTGCCTTTGGAAGAACTTGAGAACAAGGGGGGGGGGGAGGGCCCATGTTTCCCTGACCTACTTCCCAATGCTGGGCATTGAGAGCCAGCCTGCTGTTGGAATACAACCAGCTGTGACCTGGATGGGAACATTTCCTCAGACGCCAGAGGGAGTGGAGGTCCTGCCCTGAGGTGGTAGCATTCCTCACAAGGCCATGGGCCTCCATCTTACTCAGCAGGGACCACCCATCTAGGTAGTAAAATTATCACAGACAAGATCTCTCACCTCTAAGCAGCTGAACTGGTAGCTAAGTATGTGGGGATTTACTGGTTGGAAAAACAGCATCTACTCAGCTACATGCACTGATGTGGAAGTTTAAAAAATTTATTTTTTAATAATCACAAGGTGGGACTCAAAACAACTCAAGATCAAAGAGTCTAGCAGGTGTCCCCAAAATGCTTTTTTCATAAGGATCACCTCATCTTCCGCATTTTACAGATGAGGCAACTAAAGCTTGGAGCGGTTGTGTAACCTGCCCAGCTGCCTGGTGGATTCAAACCCAGGCAGTCTGACTTCAGAGTGCACTTAGTGTGGCTCTAGATTTCCTTACAGGCAGGATTAGAGGGGGACCCTGGATACTCATCAAAGCTGGGGGTTCAGAGAAAGCACGTGTGGGCGCTAACGTGTGTTACAGATCAGTACAAATGTGCAGGCTTAAGATCACATCAGTTCTCCACATGGCTCATGTGGGGTGAGGAGCTGGAGGAGAGTGGGGAGCCTAAGGCCACTGCCAAAGGCCCACACATGAGCACGACTGCCATCTGCAATCCCTGCTCTATTCCTCACTTCTGTGTTGTGACCTTAGAGTTTTTTATCCAAGATAGGAAATAGAAATCTACAACCACAAACACTGCTTCCTTCTGTCCACCCCCGACAGTGTCTTATGCTTTGCACAACGGGCAGCTGCCCAAGCCTGGGGCATGTGGGATGGGGGCAGGAGGAGGACATGGAGATTTGAGGCGAGAGAGACCGAGGCCCTGGAAGTGACCCAGCCACCTTGCTGCGTCCAGTGCCAGTGAGACCCTCTGCCCTTGGAGCAGGCCCTCGGAGACAGTGGCCCACTTCTCCATTTGACAGATGGGAAACCTTTCCCTGGGGTGCCCTGAGGGGCAGTGCCGGCTGGAGGCCAAAGGCCAGGACACTGAGCTATGCCCCTTCCCAGGTCCCTGCGGCTAAGGACTCCCCAAACCCAAAAGGCAGGGATGGGATGGGTAGCAAGTTCCCTGCAGAGCTACGTGTAGGCTCAGAGCACACTCAGCTTTTACCCCCCTTCACTCTTCACTGTGCTCCAGCCACTATGACCTGAGCTTCTTAAGCTCATTCCTGCCTCAGGGCCTTTGCACTTGTTCCCCCTGCCTGCAAGATTTTTCCAGGGCTCCTTTCCCCTCTCATGTAGGCCTCATATGTCACCCCAAACACCTTCCAAGATGACTCTGCTAATGTCCCAGCCCCTCTGCTTTGCCGTTTTATTTTTTACATAACCTTATCTCTAGTTGAACCTATTTGCATACATGTTTATTTTCTATTTCCCATTCTCCAATGACAATGTAATTAAGCTCTTTGATGGCAGAGATCTTGCTGTCTTGTTCATTCCCATATTTCCAGGACCTACAACAGTGCCTGGCAAGTAATAATGATTACGACTAATAGTTTTTATTTAGAGTTCTGAGGCACGGCTCTGAGTGCTTTCCGGTTATTAGCTCATAATCTGCATTAGGAGTGGTAAGGAGGATCTTACGATTGCACCTTTTTTAACGAGGCAAGCCTGCAGGTGGACGCTGGCCCAGGGCCAGCCGGTATAGACCATGACAGAGGCCTTGCTCAGCACGTGTGGTCTCAGTGTTTGAGAGCCCCCCACAGAGGGAGTGGGAATGAGACGAAGTCCAGCTCCACTGCTGTGGGGCCCTGCTGGGCCTTGGTCAGCCCTGGGGCTGGGCTCTCCCCCTGCTGCACTGGGGGACAGGGTGCTCCTGGTTCAGCGCCAAGCCCTCTGCGGCCCACACCTAGAGGCTGGAGCCGCGCAGCTCTCCCCACTGCACGCCTGTTTTGACTCCTAGGATGAGGCTGCGGGTCCTGGAGATCAGAAACAGGCCTTGTTTCTCTACAACTATTCATGAGCACCCACCGCAGGCTAGACATCATTCTGGGTGCTGAGCATTCAGTGGTGAGGAAAACAGACAAAAATCTCCGCTCTCGTTCCGGCAAGGGAGGCCACCAATAAGGCATCTAATGTGCCATGGCAGTGGGCATGCTGAGCGCTGGGGCGGGGCTGGATTTGCCCATTCAGGATGGGTGTTCAGGGAGGCCCTCTCTGGGAGGTGAGGGAGTAAGCCCGCAGTGCCTGTGGCGGGGGCCGGCACACGTGGTCCAGGGCCTTGTCACTGTGATGGGACTTGAGAGTCTCCATGTGGCTTGGGGAGTCTCCGGAGTAGGAGTGATACAGGGGTTGCTATTTGAAGAGGGCTCCTCAGACAGCCTGTGAATGGCGGGGGGCGGGGGGAGCGGGGAAAGAGGACCAGGCTGGGGTCAGCACAGGTGAGCCAGGAGAGCTGGTCAGGGCCTGGATAGATCCTCAAGGTCAAGCAAGTCAGGCTCCGATGGCGGATGTGTGAGAGGGGACAGAACGGTGGCTGAGCAACTGGAAGGACGGAGTTTCCATTTCTTGAGATGGAGAAAATCAGGTGAGGAGCAGGGACTCTTCATTTCAACTCTTGGATGCTGGCCGAGGGTGTGTCCGGTCTTGGCAAATCTCTTCGGCAAGCAGGTGGGGACGGAGGGGGCAGCGGACTTTGAGGCCGGAGACCAGGAGAAGGTCCAGCTGGAGACACGAAGCCCCCGTAGGGGCACCTGAGTGCCGGCACAGCTGTGCCAGGGACCACGTGCTGAGGGGACGGCAGCTCAGGGTCCAGTGGGAGGGCAGTAGGTAGATGCTCACACCAAGTAGAAAGTGACAGCTCCGGGAGCCAGGACTGTGAAGCTGGCTGACCCCAGTGGAAGGAGCGGGGACTCTTGGGTGGGAGGTCACAGCAGGCTGCCTGGAGGAAAGGGTGCCCGTTCTGGGCTTCAAAGGATTCGGAAGCTGTGAATGTAGAGAATGGCGAGGCATCCCCAAGAAAGCTGGCCCAGAAAACTCACGAAGGGGCACGTGCTGCGAGTGCCACAGTCCCACCTACCTGTCCAAGAGGGCTCCCCACCCCAGCTCTGCGACAGGCAGTCACCTGATGGGGACCCACCCAGCTCCTGCAGGAACTCAGGCCTCTGTCCGCACAAACTCTGCGCAGGCCCGGTGGGCAGGCCTGTGGTTGTGCCCTAGCCGGGTCCCACGGGCAGGCCTCCCCACTCTTGCCCCACGCCCCAGCCAACCCGTCCGGTCACAAAGGACCAGGAAGTGTGGATGCCTCAAACAGCCCACCCTGCTGGGCCCTCCCACCGGTCACCACGTGCGTTCCTCCAGCTTTGCTCATGGAGGTCCACGTCGGCCAGCTGCCCCAAACCACAGGGGACACAAATGCTTCCAGGCGCTTCGTGTCACTCGCGATGTCTCGACTGAGGAGGGCCTCCTCCTCCTGGGTCTTTTTAGACCCGGCATGAAGGTGGCAGCTCCGTGTCTTCTTATTTGAGCCCCGTCCCTTCCTTTCCCAGCTGGTCTGTCAGTCGCCAGGTCTTGGAGCATGTGGTCAGCAAGCCCCATCTTGACTTCTGCACACACGCCTCCCCTAACGGTGGCACATCCTCCATCCTCCGGCGCCTCTCCCAGGCCCTCTGCCGCCTTCTAAGCCCTAGCACCGGAACTGTCCAGGGTGACTGTTTTTTTTCTTTAAGATTTTGTTTGAGAGAGAGAGACAGAGACAGAGAGTGAGCACAAGGTGGGGGACAGAGAGGGAGAAGCACACTCCCCACTGAGCAGGGAGCCTGATCCCGGGACCCAGAGATCACGACCTGAGCCGAAGCCAGACCCTTAACCGCCTGAGCCACGCAGGCGCCTCTGTCCAGGGTGACCATTACAAGCACGTCCCAGAGTCCTACCCCGACCTCCTGGACCAGAATCTCAGAAGTGAGCACTAACTTTGGTCACTCAAGGGGAGCACGGACACCGTCACTGATGCTACGTGGAACGAACAGAACGTACCCACCAGCAGAGAAGTGGCAGACCCCGCTCTCACACCTGCCAACTCCCTGCCCCGGAGCCGGGCCCGTCACTCTACGCCTGGGAAGGGACACCCGTAGGTGATTAGGGCACAGTGGGCGTGTCCTTGTCAGAAAGGGGCCTGGAGCTCGAGGGCTGGTGAAGTGAGCAAGAAGGCGCCCGCACAGCGGAGATGAAGGGAAGGAGTCTCTGGGGATATCCAAGTTTGCCTCTCCCCCCGCAGGGGTTACGAAAGCTCAGCAGGCAGGAGCGAGAATGTGAGAGATACCAGCCTTTCCCTTCTTTGGAACAAGCCCATGCGAGGAAGGTGGGTCCGTAAGGGTTTGGAGTCACAGCTCCCTCCTCTCCTGCCCCCTTAGCCTCCTGGATGGATGGTCTGCTTCCTGCTGCTGGGACGGAGGCCACCTGCAGGCAGGACGGGCTCCACCTCTGCCTCAGCCAGGTCCGCGGTCCCCTGCTGTCCCCACTTAGGATGCAAAGCTAGTTAACCACCAGGAGCAGACCCCCCGGGCAGTGCGGGGGGTGCGGCACCCTCTCCCCTCTGGCCATAAGGACCCACTGTGGGGTTGGCAGACTGTGGCCCCCCAGCCGGCCCAGCCACAGGAGGGCCCCTCCGCAAGTCCTCTGCCAGACGAGGCCCTGACCTAAGGAGCCCGGGACACGGGGGAGCAGAGAGTTGGATGGAGCTGCCCAAAGGCAAGCAGGGTCCTCTCTGCACGGGGAAGAAGAGGCTCCTGGACTTCCAGAACTTGTCGTCTCCTCCACAGTGAAGACCCATCCAGTCAGCACATCCGCTCACTCAGGCACTCGCTCTCCACATACCCGTCCCTGGCACATGCCTGCTGGGAAGGGACCAGCCCGACCCCAGCCCTGGCTTCCTGCCTGGGCACACACCTGAGCGTGACGTGACGTTTCGTGAGGTCACCTCCTGAGCTGCCCCCCTCCCCACAAGAGCACAAGCCTTGGGTGCCAGGGCAGCCACACCCCCGCTTCCCGAACCCCGAGTCGGCTGCCCCGGAAGCCCCCTGCCGCAGTGGATACTACTCTGTCTCCAGGGCTGCCTGGTCAGCTGTGGTCGCCACCCCCAGGGGAGGAGGGCTCCTCTCAGCCCATGAGCAGATGCTGGGTGCTCCCCGGGGGCCAGCTACACTGGGGCTGGACGGGAGGACTTCTGACCCGGAGCCCTAAGAAGCATGGGGGATGGCGAAAGGCCCTTGGTGCCAGAGGAGATGCGAGACGCCCTGGCAGCACACACTCTGCTCTTGGGTCCACGTTTATTAGAACCTGAAGCCGGCCCAGCAGCCTTCCCTCCTAGAGGTGTGGCCCCGAGGGCCTAGGAACTGGCCTCTCCGGAGCGAACAGCCCAGAGGCCCTACTTGGGCCAAAGCAAACGAAGCAGTCAGAAATGTTTTCTAGCAGGTAGATGGTTCCTCCCGAGCCTGCAGATGTCAGCTCTGGTCTGAGTGCGTTTCCTCCCCTGGGCGTCGGCTCCCCAGCTCCACGCTAGCCACCCTGCTCCGGCCACGGGGCCAGCAGAGGCTGTGAGGTCAGAGAAGGAGACTGCAGCTGAGTGCCTTTCCCACTGTGTCCTCCTGGGAGCCTAGCTGCCGAAGTATTCCTGCTGGAACTTCTGGAAATCTTCCTCGGTGAACACGGTGCTCTCAGCCTTCTTCTTCTTCTTCGTCTTGGCTACAGGCCGGTCACAGGCCTTGCGGCCCCGGTTCTGACGCACAATCTGGGGATGTGGGGTGGGGGGGGTGTCAGGATCCCTCGGTGGTTTCTCTCTGCACATGAGGGACCGCCCCTTGGAGCTGCACAACCTAGCAGAGCTGACTGAGTGCTACCTTCTCACTGGGCCCTCACGCTGTTCCAGGAGGCAGGGTGTACCATTTCCACTTACAGAGGAACAAACCAAGGCCCACAAGGGTCACAGGGGAGTAAGGCCAGGCCCAGCCTCCCAACAGCCCCGCTCTGCTCTTTGCCATCTAGAGGGGTGGCCCAACCTCTGCTCTGTGCTTAGGGCAGAGACTCCCATGGGTCCCAGAAACAGCCCTGGCTCTCCCCACCCAGGTTCTGCCCCACAGCCCACTCCTGACAAACCTGCTGGGTGACTGACTCCGCCACGGTACTTCTTGCACTGGTCATAAACTTCAGGTTTACTCCAAGGTAGCCTCGACACTCTCGCTTCTGGAACTCAGCTGTGGATGGCAGGCAGGGAGGCATCATTTCAGATGTACTCCCTGGAAGCCGCTGGGTCCCCTTCCGACAGCTCTTCCCCGTCCCCCCACCAGCCATGTCAAAGGCCCTGTGTCCCCTCCCTAGGTTAACTCCAGCACGCCGGGCTCTTTTCTGTCCAATCCACTTTCCATTCGATCCTACTGAAAGCATCCCCCACCCCTGCCCCCGGCTCCCTGACGCTCAAGGGGCTTATGCAACAAACTAGTCCTGAGCATTTACTGTGCGGCAGACACTGTTGGAGATGCAGGGCATATAGCAGAAAACAGCAAAAACTCCCGCCCTCATGGAGCTTACATTCCAAAGCAAAGAAACACGGTAAACAAGATAAATAGTATTTTAGAGAGTGATACATTTTATGAAGAGAAACACCACAGTAAAGAGAAATGAGGAATGCCAGCGGTGGAGGGTTGCAATTCTAAATACGAGGGTCTGAGCATGCCTCAGTGAAATGAGGTTTTAGCAAACACTCAAGGGAGAGAGTGTGGATATCGGGGGAAAGAGCATTCTAAGCCAGTGCAAAGAACCCGAAGAAGTGCGATTAATGTGTTTGGAGAACAGAAAATGGCTAGAATGGGGAGGGGAGAGCAGTAGGAGATGAAGATGGAGATGGGGCAGACCACGTGGGGCCTCACTGGGTAGCAAGTCTGATGAAAGCCACTGGAGGGTGTGGGGCCGGGAGAGACAGGTCCCGCTTACTGCTTCACGGGATCACTCTGGCTGCCTCGGTGAGAACAAGATTACCGGGTGGGGGAGTGGAGGTTAAGAGGCTTCTGAAATAATCCAAGCAAGACATGATGCGGCTCACACCGAGGTGGCCCCAGAGTCCCCTCATCATCCGTTAGGTAGCGTGACAGGGAGGGGGGACGAGGGCTGGGATACAGGAGGTGACCCCTGGCACCCTAGGCTCCTGTTTCACACCAACATCACTGTTGCTCACGCCGTTTCCTGCTTGGAATTCATAGTTCTTTCAACAAATATCTGAACACCTTTTATGTACCAGGCTCCGGGGGTTCAAAGACACACTAGGAGCTCACCAAGCCCTGCCACATGTCAAAAGACCCCACCATCCAGCCCACATCTGTCCCTCCTCAAGGCTGTCTGACCCGTTACATGGCATCCTATCTCCCAAGATGCTCTACTAGAAAGTGGGCTCTGTCCTCGGTGTCTCCCTCTTCCTCCATCCTTGCAGCCAATTCACCACTGAAGCCCAGCAATGCTCCCTCTCCCACCCCCTCGTATCCTTGCACCATCGCGGCTGCCCAGGCCACAGTGCCTCCCACCCTAACGGAGTAGGTGAGAGCAAATCTCTCCGCAGACACACTGCCTGGTTTCCACCTGTGCGATCTGGGCCGGTGCCCATTTCTGCATCTAACAAATGGGGGTCACGACAGTACTGACCTCACAGGGTCGTGTGAGGAACCAAACGAGGGAATATTTATTTATACAGGCTTTAGAACAGCACCAGGCACGCAGAACATTCACGGCTTGTTAAGCGCTCCATCTCGGACTCCTGCCCGCTCCGTCACCTTGTCCAGGCATCTTTGTGGCCAATTCTCAAAGCAACGAACTTTTTCCTAACTCTGCATGATCTATTTTCTCCAGAGCGCTCTTCCCCTGGCTCACTCTTCCACTTCCTTCAGGTACGGGCTTAAATGTCTCTTCCGCAGAGCAGTCTGATTTGGCTTTTTATTCTGAAGCCCCCCAGAGCACTCCAGTCTTACTCCACAGGCCTCATCACACTGAGCAATTACTCCCTACCTCTGAAATTCTTTGGTGCTTCTCTCCCCACTAGGGCAGCAGCCCACGAGGACCGGGACGACGTGTTTCGTCCACCTCCGTACTCCCAAGACCCGGCTCCGCGCCTGGCGCACACCTGCTATTCCAGAAAATGCCCGGCCACCCTTTCAAGCTCAGCCTCCAGCGCCCCCTCCTCCTGGGTGCCGCCCCTTTCCCGAGCTCACCGAGCGCGGACTTGGGCACCTTTCCCTTGGCCGAGTTCCGCAGTTTCTGGGCTTGGGTCGCCTTCGCCTTCCGGGTCCGCTTCGCCGAGGCCCCGTTCGGCTTGGCCTGGCCTGGCGCGGCCCGGGGGGCTGCAGGGGAAGAGAGAGAGGGACCGACCCGGGTCAGAGGGCGCGCAGGGTTTCCATCCCACCAGGGCCAAGCCTGGCTTGGATCGTCCCGTACCCTCTGGGCTCCCGCCCGCAGCCCCTGCCGTCCCTCCGCCCGCGCTGCGCGGCCCCGGCCAGGCCCGTCTCACCCTCCGGCGCCCCCAGCAGCTCCAGGCCCCGCCGCAGCAGGGCGGCCGACATGGCTGCGCTTAGCTCCGCCTACACACCACGCTACTTCCGCCTTGACCGCCCTGGTCCTCTCGGCGGAAACCCGAGCGAGAACAGAAGGTTCCGGAGTGAGCGGGCGGAAGTGCCCGCCTGCCTTAGGACGCATGCGTTTGGGGTCGCCACTTTACTACGGAGAGGAAATAGGGGCGGGGACTGGAGGCGGGGCCAACCTGCAGAAGGACACATTTGTTGTCCAATCCTAAGAAGGCCACGCCTTCTTCCGGAAGCCGTCCGTAACCCGGGCTGGTTGGTCAACTTTCCCGAGTCCCGAAGCTCCCTCGTGGGCGAGGCGGGGGTCGGAGCAGAGTGTTCGTGTTATCAATTTTTTCGACAAAGGGAAGTGTACAGCGGGTTCTTTTTCACGTACATCAACCAAAGCAACATATCGGTGGAGTATGGCATGAGAATCCAACTTGTCTTCCATTATGTCAGACCTGAAAGACATTTGCAAAAAGATGCAAAACCGTGTCAGTGTTTTCCCGCTATTTTGTTTTGCTTTGGAAAATACAACCATTTTCATTAGAAATATTTGTTCAACATAGAGCAGGCAAAAAGCATGTCTGACGTCACTGGGCCACAGGGTACCCCACAGCCCTTTATTTATAACATGCAGTGGGGTTGCTTTTGTTTTTAAAAATGAATTAATAAAACATTAACTTACTAAATTTTAAAAATCAAATATTTCTCAGTTTTAGTTTCTAATATGGTAAATATCAGTAGGTATTTACACATGGTAAAGCTCTTTGGGATCCTGAACTTTTTTTAAGAGTGTCAGGAATTTCTTGGACCAAAAAGTTCGAGAACTTCTGGCCTAGAAATTACTCTTCTTCTTCTTTTTTTTTTTTTTTTTAAGATTTTTTAAAATGTATTTATTTGACAGAGAGATAGAAGCCCGAGTAGGCAGAGAGGCAGGCAGAGGGAGAGGGAGAAGCAGGCTCTCTGCTGAGCAGGGAGCCTGATGCTGGACTTGATCCTAGGACCCTGGGATTACAACCCAAGCCGACGGCAGCTGTTTAACTGACTGAGCCACCCAGGTGCCCCTAGAAATTACTCTTCTTGCAGTGGGGAAGAATCCTCCCTATTCACAGCTCCATCTGCAGCTCTTAGCCCAGTATCTGGCATGCAGAAGGAACTCAATAGATGAGTGGTGAATGATGAGGAATATGATTTGAGAGCCTTTCGTATGCCCTACGCTGTTGAGGTGGGGCATGGGGATGACTCAGCTGGACATTCCTGGATGAACCTCACTGTCTAACCGCCATGAGCTAGTCCTGGGGGGAAAGAACACCTAAATAGACGTTAATAATAGCAAACACTATGTTAAGGTACTGTTAACATTTGTTAACTCATTTACCTCCCACCACCCGTAACTCTGAGGTAGGAGCAACTGTTTCCCCCATTTTACAGATGAGGAAACAGTGGCACAGAGCCAAGGAACCTGTCCAGGTCACGCACGTTGGTGTCCGTGCTGGGAATCAAGACACAGAGCTGAGTGTGTATGTGTGTGTGTGTATGCTGCATCTTGCCCCAGCCTCCCAGGAGATTAGTGCTGTGGTGCTGGGTGGGGCCTGACAAGCCCACAGGATCAAGAGATCTCTGGAGAAGAGGAGCTACTCATGTGGGAGGGGAGAGTCCCAGGAAGGAGGACCCCTTAGTGAAGGCACATGCCTGGGACAGGAGTGGCCCCAGAGGGGTGACTAGGGAAGGGTGGGGTTTTTTGATTTTTTTTTTTTAATATTTTATTTATTTGAAAGAGAAAGCTAGAGAGAGAGAGCAAGAGTGGGATGAGGGGCAGAGGGAGAAGCAGACTCCCCGCTGAGCAGGGAGCTGGGGCTCATGACCTGTGATGAAGGCAGAGCTTAACCAACTGAGCCACCCAGGCACCCCAGGGAAAGATGTTCTAATTTGCATTCAACTCCATGAATTTGCCTAAAGGACTGTGGGGGGTCGTGGAACACAGTTACATTGTCAGACACACTCTTTTTATCTGCTTCTAAAATAGCCAGATTATTTTCTTACTATGTTTATTTTTTATTGTCTTTCCCCCCACCCACACCCCACTGTATGCTGCATAAGGGCAGGAATCTTTGTTTTGTTCATGGTTATATCTCTAGCTCCTGGAGCGTATAGTAAGCACTCCATAAATGTACGGATCAGATGGATGAAGTTTGAGTTTGGGATGCCTGTGGGAGGCTAGGTAGAGATGTGCAGGTGATTGTAGGATGTGTGAGTCTGTCTCTCAAGAGGGCAAAGGACCAAGCTCTATCGTATTCCCTTCCTCCTCCCCATCTGGGGTGGTCAGCACACGGTCCCCAGGGTGGAGTTCTTTGTATTCCAATGTCCCGGCGAACAGGGACGCCAGTCATGGTTGGATTCCTGCAGCGTCCTCAGCTCAACCCGTTGCTCAGAGGACTCTGGAGGGGTCCGGCTGCCTCTTCGGCCACTAGGTGGCGCCGCAGGACAGCTTTCTTGCACAGCGCGCCTCCGCGATCCTGGTTGGGGTTTCGGGGTAGGAGTGTGGGGTTGGGGCACTCTTCGGCCTCAGCTGGCTCTTTGCAGCCAGCACCGCGTGGCCCCGGCTTCCTGCAGCCTCTGCCTTGCGGCCTTCCGAGACCGGGCTAGACACCCCTCCTGGGCCTGCTGAGGTCAAGCCACCAGGCCGGGCTGGGCAGGGGCGGGGGTGGGGGGGTGCGGAGGAGGAGGAGGCCCTCCTCTGAAAAGGGTTGTAAATGGCAGCAGGTGGGCACTCACTGTGGGGAAGTCTCCAGTGACCCTAGGCAGTCCCTTAACAGAGAGTGCCTCAGTTTCCTCATCTGTTAAATGGGGTTTGGCTTCCTAATACGGTGGGAGTGAGGAGCTGGTAAATTAATACTGGTGAAGCATCTAGAACAGGGACTGGAGGGAAAGCACCCAGCGACTGTTTGCGGTGGATTATTACAGAGGTGCACTCCCATTCTGGGCAGGAAGGAGGCGCCCAGGAGGTTGCCGCCTTCTTATCCCCTGTCACCCATTTACCTCATCATCCCTGTCTCCTTCCTGGCCTTCCTGGAACAGCTTAACCTCACCAGGCCTCAGAGGGACCAAAGGCTCAGAGGGAGGCGAGGTGTTCTAACGTCACACAGTATTTCAAGAGCAGAGGCAGGACTAGAACCCGGGTCTCTGAGTCCTGAACAAGAGTGTGTGAGTACCTATGAGGTTGTATGTGTGTGTGTGTTCAGGTGTGAGTGTGTGTGCTGGGGGGGGCACCTGGCATCCTGTGCTTTGCTTTTGCTTCTCTCCATCTTTCTTCCGTCTCTGTGTATCTCTGTCTCCTTGTCCTTGTCTCTGGCTCTTGTCCTTGCGTCTGTGCCTCCGTCCTCCCTTCTCTGTCCCTGAGTCCTCTCTCCATCTCTCCCTCAGTCACCGCACCCACCCCCAGCCCCCAAGCTCCTGGCCTCTCTCCACCTTCAAATTGAAAACCCAAATTGGAATTTCCAATTGCCTTTCCGAGCGGTGATTGCCAGTCTCCACGCGTCCAGCCCTCCCTTGTCTGTGCCGCCGGCCCTGAGTTACTGCGGAGTCCCTCCCTCTCGCCTCCGCCTCTGACTCCTGCCCCCTGTGGCTTTGAAGTGTGTTTACCTGAGGGCTCCAGAAGGAATCCATTTCTGCCCCCTCTGGTTCTCAGCTGATGTGTGGGTTGGGGGGGTGCTCCTTTCAGGCTCTGGTCTCCCCTGTCCCTCTCGGGGTCTCTTGGGCTTGTGTCTCATGCCTCGTTCCCTCCTGACCACGCTGTCACCAGGCAGTCACTCCTCGGTTTCCCAGATCAAGGACAGAGCTGGGGGAGGGAGCGTCCCCAGGGGTCCGAGGCTGACACAGATGCTCTAGGTTCCGCAGACTGGGCTCACAAGGCTGTGTGCCCACGAGCAAGCCACCCTCCTCCTCTGGGCCTGTTGCCTCCTCTGCCAGTTGGGCTTTGAGAAGTACTGTCCAGCCTTCCTCCCAGGGCTGAGGGCGGGACGGGGCCAGAGCTTCCTCATTCCTGGGTCCTGAGGTCTGGGGGGAACTTGGGTTCTGGAGCAGGGCTGTGCAGGTTCAAATTATGGCTTTGCCACTTGCTAGCTGTGTGACCTTGAATAAGGCACACAACCTCTCTGTGCTTCCATTTCCTCATCTGTGAGTTGACTATAATAATAGTCCTTACCTCCTGAGGAGGGTTGCCGTGAGGACTGAGTGCAAAGAGCTTAGAAAGGAAACCTGGGCACAGAGTAAGTGCCGTATGTTTGTAAATGAACGATGGCCATTGGTGCCAGACTGTGTTTGGGGAACCTGTGCGCACATCCATGGGGATGACCTACGCAGGTATGTAGCCACTGGACCTCCGTGCTCTTGTGAACAGCACATGGGGAGCTTGGGGGCTACAGAGAGTAATGCTCAGGAGCCTGGAGTCTGGCAGGTGTACGTTCACATGCAGCCTTTGCCACTTCTCAGCGTGTGGCCTGGGGAGGCTACGGTCACCTCTCTGAGCTTCGTGGGGGTTTTGGGGGACTGGTGGTGTCTCCCTCCAGGTCTGTTGGAGGGTGCGGTGAGAGGCTGCGTGGAAAGCTCAGCACCAGTCCGGACACTTGATCATCTGCTCACTCAACAAACAGCTGCTGAACATGCCCCCCAGGCAGCGGGCAGGGAGGGGGTTCCAGGTGAAGGAGGGGCTGGGTGAGGCTCATGCATTTGTGCGTGTTACACTCTAAGCAAATGCCCCTTGAGGGTCTGTGTTTATGACCCCAGGGTTTTCAGGGTTCAGGGTGGTGGCCCAGATACAGGCCCCAGGGACGGCAGCCCCACCTGGGGAGTCCAGGCAGAGGCAGAGTGGATTCTTCTTAACGATTTGAAAAGATGAAATTGTTGGCATGACCGATTTTGAGAACTTAGTGGATACACAGGAAGAAGCTGCTGGAAATCCTCCATGGAGATCTGAGGTCAGACAGGGAGTCTGGGCGGGGGTCAAAGGTCAGGTCTGTTTCATCTTAGGCTTGATCCTGACCTGCCAAACTCACAGCTCTGTCACTAAGTTGCTATGCAACCTTGGCACATCCTTCCCCACA